CTTCCCTGTACCTTTTTGACCCTATTCCTCCCTCTCCCCTCCCCACTGAAGTCTCTCCATGTGATGTCCATTTCTCTGATTCTGTTCCTGTTCTGGTTATTTGCTTAGTTTTTGTTTTTGTTGCTTTTCTTTTCTTTTCGATTCATTTGTTGACAGTTGTGAGTTTGTTGTCATTTTACTGTTCATATTTTTTATCTTCTTATTCTTAGATAAGTTGCCTTAACATTTCATATAATAATGGCTTGCTGATGATGAACTCCTTTAACTTGACCTTATCTGGGAAGCTCTTTATCTGCCCTTCCATTTTAAATGAAAGCTTTGATGGATAGAGTCATCTTGGTTGTAGGTCCTTGCCTTTCTTGACTTTTAGTACTTTTTTCCAGCCCCTTCTTGCCTGCAAGGTTTCTTTTGAGAAATCAGCTGATAGTCTTATGGGAACTCCTTTGTAAGTAACTGTCTCCTTTTCTCTTGCTGCTTTTAAGATTCTCTCATCTTTTTTTTAATTTATTTTTTAAATTGATTATGCTGTTACAGTTGTTCTATTCCCCCCTTCATTCCCCTCCACCCTACCCCCCCATCCCCACCATTACCCCCCCTTTAGTTTATGACCATGTGTCTCAAGTTCTTTAGATTCTATATTTCCCATGCTATTCTTGCCCCCCCCATCTATTTTCTATCTACTGTCTATGCTACTTATTTTCTGTACCTTCTCCCCCCTTCTCCTCCTCCCACTCCCCTGTTGCTAATCCTCCTTGAGATCTTCATTTCTATGTTTCCACTCCTGATCTAGCTGTCCTTTTAGTTTGCTTTTGTTTTAGGTGTGGCTAATAACTGTGAGTTTGTTGTCCTTTCACTGTTCATGTTTCTTTAACTTCTTTTTCTTAGATAAGTCCCTTTAACATTTCATATAATAAGGGCTTGGTGATGATGAACTTCTTGAATTTGATCTTATCTGAGAAGCACTTTATCTGTCCTTCCATTCTAAATGAAAGTTTTGCTGGATAGAGCAATCTTGGTTGTAGGTCTTTGGATTTCATGACTTGGAATACCTCTCTCCAGCCCCTTCTTGCCTGTAAGGTCTCTTTTGAGAAATCAGCTGACAGTCTGATAGGGACTCCTTTGTAGGTGACTGTCCCCTTAGCTCTTGCTGCTTCTAGGATTCTCTCCTTCATTTTAATCTTGGCTAATGTAATGATGATGTGCCTTGGTGTGTTCCTTCTTGGGTCCAAGTTCTTTGGTACTCTCTGAGCTTCCTGGATTTCCTGGAAGTCTATTTCCCTTTGCCAGATTGGGGAAATTCTCCTTTATTATTTGTTCAAATAAGTTTTCCACTGGTGGCTGTGCCTTTACCCCTTCTGGTACCCCTATAATTCGGATGTTGGAGCGTTTAAAGATGTCCTGGAGGTTCCTAAGACTCTCCTCATTTCTTTGAATTCTTGTTTCTTGACTCTTTTCTGTTTGGCCATTATTTGCTTTCTTCTGGTCCACTCCGTTGATTTGAGTCCCAGTTTCCTTTTCATTGCTATTGGTGTCCTGTGCAATTCCATTCATTTCAATTAGTTTCACCTTCATATATTTTTCTAATTTGTGGCTATAATCAACCAGTTCTGTGAGGATCCTGATCACCAGTGTTTTAAACTGTGCGTCTGAGAGTTTTGCTATTTCTTCATCGCTTAGATTTATAGGCTCTGGGGCTTTGAGCTCTTCTTGAGCCATTTTTGGTCTGTTCGCGCCCTTTAAGTGTGAGGAACGGAGCCTTGGACTCCCAGGTCTCTGGGTTGTGACGCTGTACGTGGGGGCGTGGTCAGAGCAGGGACATGCCGGCACCCTCTACAGTTTCTTGCTGCTGGTTGAGGAGCAGAGCCTTAGGTGGTTCACCAGGGCCGGGCCACTCAGAGTCGCTGGGTTATGACGCTGTATGTGGAGGTGGGGTCAGAGCAGGGAAATGGCGGGGACCGGCTGGGTCCCGCTCCAACTGCCCACTCCCTCGCCTGTCCGCCCAGGCACAAATGTGCGACCACAGTCAACCTGCAACCCTGCTCCCTCGCTGTTTCCCCGCGGGCGCTCACTTGGTCGCTCGCTCAGTCGCTCACTAGGTCCAACCCTGCACCTGGATTCTGCGCGCCTGAGTCCGTCTGACCGAGTTTTCCTGTGCAACCCTGCTCCACCAGCTGCTGGTTTCGCCCCTTACTGGTCAGACTGAAGAATTTATTGTTAACAGACTTCCGAAAAGTTCAATTTTGTGTGTTCTGGCTGTGTTTTCTGTTGCTAATATTTAGTTGTCTCTAAACTTGGTTGTGTGAGAAGGCACGGATATCCACCTATGCCTCCATCTTGGCGGAAGTCCTCTCCTTATCTTTAATCTTAGGTAATGTTATTATGATGTCCCTTGGTGTGTGCTTCCCTGGGTCCAACTTGTTTGGGATTCTCTGTGCTTCCTGGACTTGTATGTCTATTTCCTTTGCCAAATCAGGGAGTTTTCTTTCATTATTTTTTCAAATAAGTTTTCAGTTTTTTGCTCTTCCTATTCTCCTTTTGGCATCCCTGTAATTCAGATGTTAAAACACTTAAAGTTGTCTCAGAGGTTCCTCAGCCTCTCTTCATTTTTTGAATTCTTATTTCTTCATTCTGTTCTGGTTGAATGCTTATTTCTTCCTTCTGCTCCAAACATTTGACTTGAGTACCAATTCCCTTCCTTTTACTATTGGTTCCCTGCACATTTTCATAGCCTTCACTCTTTCCTCTATTTTTCAACTGTACTCAATCATTTCTGTGAGCATCCTGATTACCAATGTTTTGAACTATGCATCTGATAGGTTAGCTATCTCTTTGTCACTTAGTTGTATTTTTTTCTGGAGCTTTGATCTGTTCTTTTATTTGAGCCATATTTTTTTTTCTTGGCACACTTTTTATGTAGTAAAGGGTGGAGCCTTAGGTATTCTCTAGGGCGGGGCAACCTATGGCACTGCATTGTGCCACTGTATGTGGAGGAGAGGTTTGAGAGGGAACAGTTCCACTTGCTTAGCTCTTAGTGGCTTTCAGCCTCTTCCCCCACTACTCACAAGCAAATTGGGCCCTTCTGGTGTTGATTCCAGGTGGGTGGGTTTGTGTATGTTGTAGGACCCTGTGGATCTCTCCAGTGAACTCTCCTGTGAGGCTGGGAGTTTCTCCTGCTGCGTCAACCCCCACAGGTGTTTTCAGTAAGAGGTTTTGAGGCTTTATTTCCCCACACTGGAGTCCTGGGTTGTGTGATCTGTCTTGCTCCCCAGTTGTTCCTTCTGGTTTATCTTATCCACATGCAGATGTGGGACTGCCTATTCCTCCAGCCACTGCCTCGTCTGGTTCGCCAGCTGCCACCTTGCTGTGAGTCCTCTCCACCTCAGCTGCCCATTTCTGCCCCTCCTACTGGTCTGGATAAATGTTTCTGCTTTAATTCCTTGGTTGTCAGACTTCCATATAGTTTGATTTTCTAGCAGTTTTGGTTATTTTTTGTTTTTAAATTAGTTCTTGTCTTTCTTTTGGTTATGTGAGGAAGCAAAGTGTATCTACCTGTGCCACCATCTTGGCCAGAAGTCAGGATTATGTATACTGCCTCTTCTTGATGGCAAATGATATTAGAGAGACATTGATTAGAACATAATTTTGAATGATGAGATTTTTATTAACTGTTGGAAGCACTTTCTAACAACAGAATGAGATGCTTAATGTTAACAGGAGTACCAGTCTGGACATAGCTACACAGGGGTTGTTGGATGATCTTGTGTGAAGAATGTGGAGGGCAGGGGTAGTTTCCTGCATTTATATGGAGCAGGAACTTCAAAATCCCATTAAATTTTTCAAGTCTTTGGTTCTGTCTGTTCTGATGTTAGTTGTGCTTGCAACAAGAAACTTTCTCATAGAATAGTTAGCAGAGTTGGCAGCCTGCTCCTTCACCTAATTTCATTTTCTATATATTGTATATCAATAGGAAGTATGCAAAGACTGTATACCCTCATATATTTTAACATGTAATATTAAAATAATAGTAGCTACCATGTCGTGAATGGTATTACCATGTCCAGATATTGTGCTAAAAATTGTATAAACATTGTTTCATTTAATCCTCATACCAACCCTGAGAGGATGGGCCATTATTGTCTTATTACTATTCTAGACCTAAAAAAAAAAGAGAGGTACCACATGTGATTGACTTAGTCTACTAGGGCTGTATAACAAATGCCACAGACTGTGTGGCTTAAACAAGAGAAATCTGTTTTCTCAGAGTTCTGGAGAAGAGGCAAAGTTTGGTTTCCAGTGAGGGCCTTCTTCCTAGCTAGCAGACAACCACTTCCTCACTGTGTCCTCCTCACAGGGCAGAGACAGAGAAATCACTGTCTTTTCCTTGCTTCATGAGACTACCAATCCTACTAGATTAGGACCCTAGTTTTTTTTTTTTTTTTTTTACCTCATTTAACCTTGATTACCTCCTGAAAGCCCTATCTCTAATTACAGTCACATGGGGGTTAGAGTTTTGACATGTAAATTTGTGGAAGAAGATTGATTTTGATTTATGGTAGTGGTAGATAGTGTTTAGCTTGGCTTTAATGGAAAGATGGTGTTGTTTATGTTTTTAAGAGCTGAAGGTGTTTGAGTTTGGAGGAGAGCACGTTTCTACTATTTTCTGGACACCTTCTCTTCCCCATGAAGTGTTAGATAATTACCTGTTAGATAATAGGACTGTCTCAATGTTTGGCAAGAAGAGTCAACTCTTCTTATTGCTTATTAAAAAGCAACAAGAATTCAGTTTCTTTCCTGATCCTTTGTGGGGAAACCTTTCATTACCTTGATAAAGGAGCTTCTTAGGTTACCTTTAAGAGAAAAGTAGTCTTCTTAGTATCCCACTATCTGTCCTTGCAACAGAGATGACTTCAGTGTCAACACTTAGTTTGTTTCCCCTTTCTGTCTGCAGAACTAACTCTATCCTCCAGAGGCTTTTGGTGACTAGTCCATTTCTTTTTCAGGAAACTAAAAAAACTATTTAGGAAGCTGAAAGATGAGACAGAACCTGGAGAAACAGACTCTGCCCATTCAAAGCATCCAGAGCAGTGGGACCGAGACTACAGCTTGGAACCATACACTGGACTGACTCCAGAGTACATGGAAATGAGTAAGAGCATGTGATCTTTCCTTCCTGGTGCAGGTTCAGACAAGGGGTCAAGGAGAGAAATAAGGAGAGGGGAGGGAAATGACTGGGGCAGTCACTGCACCTCCCTGGGCTTCGTGGTTACCCAGAGTCATCTTCAATGCCACATAAAAGTTGAGGAGTGTAAGGCAGAAAGAACCCTGGGATGAGAACCAGGAGCAACTCTTATCACCAAGTCAATAGAAGGATGATGCCCTCTTCTCCCTGGACTTCCTCTCCACATCTTGAAATGAGAAGTTTGGTCTCTCAGGTCCCTTCCCATGGGTTCTTTCTTTAATAAAGCTGGAAGAGAAATAGTGAAGACTGAAATTTAAGGATAGAGTTTCCATCAAGGAAAAGTAAAGTAGTCCTATGACACTTGGGACAAGGGTACATCTTTGATATGGAGAATATAGAAGAGTCCCCAACTCTGATCAGGCAGGGCTGGGTAAAATATCAACTTTTCCCTAAAAAACATGGGGTTTTTGTGTAGGAGATGGTAAGTAGATTTCTAGTTACTGAGCCTCTGGTTGTTCTTGGATAAGGCTTTAAAAACAGGGGTGCCTGTAACACAGACTAATAGTTTTACTTGCGGTTCAGAAGCCATGAGTTTTCCATTATGACAAGTATCCCAACTTAGACCAGCTGCCTTCAAACTCTTGGCTACTTGTGATAATCCTGATCTTTTATTGAGGTGGATATTTGAGAAGTGTCTTTCCAAGACTTGGAACTAATTAATTAAAAACAAAGGACCAAGAGGTCAGACATATCATCTAAACATTTATTCAACCCAGGGTGTTGGAGAAATATCAGTCACATCCAATGAAAGAATCACTCAATACTTAATCTCATTGTGTTTCCATAATGACTCCTGCCTCCTCTGGTTAATCACTTTTAACAGGGGGCCACCAATGCCTCTCTGGGCACCAGGTTCTTCCCTTGTTACTGCTAATGGATATCTGTTCTCTTCTGTGTATAAAAGTGTGTGTATGTATGGTAAGGGGAGAGAGAAGGACAGAGTCTACATTAGATGACCTCAAAAGTTCTGCTCTAGCCCTGGGGACCTAAAATTCCGGGCAAAGCCTGAGCTTTGTGTTCTAAGTAAACTCATCAGAAAAGAAACAGTTGTTGTGTCTGCTTCAGGAACAATAGGCAAAGAAAATATGAAGACCCAGTCTATGTAAACACATAGCCCCCTTATTCTTTTCACCTTTAGTTAAGTGCTACCTCTAATCCCTCTCCAAGCAGATGTTTACACAGAGATGATTACTATTATTGCAGATGCTACTCTATGCCTGCCATCTTCTCAGAAAGAAACTGCTGCCAGAGATTGAGGCTTCCATCTGGGAAGGGGCCTACTTGAGAAATCCTTGAGTTCTGTCTCTCAAACTCCACCCTCCAGTTCTAGTCCTCTACCCCCACCACCCAAGTATCTGTGTAAGGTTTTACATGTGGTTTGTCCAGATAGTCAATTATTTCAAAGCTTTATCTTTTGAGTGATTAAGAGCAGAAACCCTTGAACCATACTTCCTGGGCTCAAATTTTAGTGTGACCACCAATTAGCTGGGCAGCTTTGGGTAACTGGCTGACCCTTGTGTCTCAATTTGCTTTAGCTGTTAAGAAAAATGATAATAATATCTATCTAATGGGATTCTGTATTTTTAAATTTTATTTACTTATTTATTTTTAGAGAGGAGAAGAGATATACATATAAAAGGAAAGAAACATCAATGTGTGGTTGCCTCTCAAGCACTCCCTACCAGGGGTCTGGCCCACAACCCAGGCATGTGCCCTGCCAGGGAGTCGAGACAGCAACCCTTTGGTTCTCAGGTCGGTGCTCAATCCACTGAGCCACACCAGCCATGGCAGACTGTTGTATTTAATGAATTAATATCTGTGAAGTTCTAAGAAGAGTGTCTAGCGTATATGAAACTATGTTAAGTGTCCAGTGTTGTTTCTCTTAATGGCCCTGGGCCCTAGAAAGGCAGAGTGTAGGGAAATATGCTCCCCTTATTCAGGTATTGTGTCATTGAATAGACAGCCACTCTGTGTTTGAACTTGAGTACTTACAAATTAATGAGAAGAGGAAAAAAAAAACTAGATTACTTGGCAATTTCTGGAAAAAATTCACACCAAGAGTATAGAGAATGAAATTCATTCTATAGATGACACACATACACCCTACTTATTGAATAAGGATATAAGGGTACAAAACAATCATATTTTGAAAATAGAAAAAAGAAAGGATCATTTCCCAAAGCTTTCCTCCTTCACAACTTTTATTAACACTTTGGTGCTATTTCTTAGACCCTTTTTTATTATATATGTGATTTTAAACATGAAGTTGTGACCACATTTATTTCTCTTTTTTATTTAGCATTCTATGACTGACTATTTCCAAGTTGTCACATAATATTCAAAAGAAATAGCTGCATAATAATAATATGTCTCATAAATGTACCATAGTTTATAACCTATCTTTCAATGAAGTGTGTTATAACCTTATTTTCCAATTCTTCCCCTATTTTAATGATCTAATATGTGACATCTTCATACATATATTTTGCACATTGGAAATAGCATTATTATTTCCTCAAGACAGACTCCCACAGATGTAATTACTTCCACAGATGTAATTACTAGATTTGACATATGGCCACTGTATGGTTCTTGATTTACTTCACTAAATTGCTTTCTGAATGCTGAGTTCACCTACCCACAGGCAATATACAAAACATCCTTTCATTGAGTACACATTATTAAGTAACTGGAAGTCAGGTGATATGGAAGAATTATCAGTGTGCAGTAAGCTTGAGATTCCCAGACCCTGTGCCTACCTCAGTCCACACTGTTGGCCTGAATATTTCAAACTCATTTTTAAGCTTTTCCCAGTAAGTCTCCCTAGATGAAGGCCTGTTTCTCCTGAGAGGAAACATTATTTCTGTCCCAGTACTGCATTTGATATACATACTGATGGGATAACTTGCAGAATCACAGTGATATTGATAGCATGTTATCTTTTCTATTTAAAATCCTCAATATTACTGACTTCAAGATAAGATTTAAATCCCCTAGCTTATCATGCAACGGCATCCATGAGCTGACTCCTGTGTTGTAGGTCCTTCACAGTGCCAGAGTCACATCTGGTTTTCCCCTATTACCAGGTCTGACTTTGCCTGTCTGCCTGCAACAAGATCTTACTGAGCTGTGCAGGCTCAAACATACCTCTTGGATGCATTTTTGGTTCTTTCATCCTCAGTTCCTCTCTTCTTTTATACTTGCTTTGATATAGGAGAAAATGCAAGTGCTTTGAGGGCAAAGATTGAGCCTTATTCCTCTCTAGTCACAACACTCAGCACAGTTCCCGAAACAGTAAAAACTCAATAAAATATTTCTTCAATGAATGGCTCTTTAAATTCCCTTCCCTCAGCAGCTGGGAAGTAGAGACTCGACTTCTCTTTATCCTATGATATTTGGGCCAGCCTCCCTTTTCACCGTGGACATATTTATATGTATTTATATTATGCAGCAATTTTCATCTCCTAAGACCAAAGTAAACCCTGTTTATTATCAGGGTTTCCCTCAAAGAAAAATCACTTCTGGTTTTAATTTGCTCCTTTGCCTTCAGGGATCAAGTCATTAGTGGAAATGGACAGAATGGAATTGCTCTAACTCAGACTTGCATTTAAGCTCAACTCCAGTTTCAAGTCTTTTTCTCTGTATCACCAGCACCCTCCCTTCATCCACCTCCAAGCCATCCCTGAGGGTAATTGTGTGTCAGAACCCGTGGCAGGCACTGGGAACACAGAGGCAACACACAGGCCCAGGGACTGCCGGCCCTAAAAATCTAGTGGCAGAAAGAAACGGGCAAAAAGTTACGGGAGAGGGTCCCATTGTCATAGAAAAAACGAAGCTGACTGCTTGCTTTAGAGAGGTGAGGTCTTTGCAGCTTTCATTTGACCGAGCAGAGGGGTGTTAAAGAGAATTGTCCACTCTCGTGTTCCTTTGGCCTGTGATTGCCTGCTCACTGAACATCCTCAGGTTTCAGAAATGTCCTTCTGAGGCAGCACAAACGCAGGACTGGAAAGAGCCACTGTCTCAGGCTCGTTTTTGAACTTTAGACAAGGTCAGGAAGAGAATCCATCGCAGGGAAAACATTTCTCAGCCTTCCGGACTGGAGCCTTAGTTCCTGTGACTGCTTTCTGAGTTCTCTACTGCATGTTTGGCCCCACCACTCTCCAGGCCCTGGCTGAGAAACTAGTTCCACATCCCTGTTCCTTCACCCTTCTGTCTCCACAGAGCCCTACTCAGATAGTGGCGGCTCTTTCCCCTGGAGTATCTCTGGGAGCTGTTCCTGCAGGTAGCCTCTTAGCCTCCTATACTTGATGCTTTTTCTACTACACCCTCAACACAGCCACTTGGAAATACCAACCACTGCTACCCTTTTTATTCTTTCTGAGCGGTAGTGTGGGTCTTATCCATTGTTCAGAAGCCCCCAGTCCCATATCCTTAACAAGGCCTTCATGGGACATCCTGTCCATGTACTTAACCCTGGGCCCTTTTATGTGTCCTAGGTCCAGCCCCAGTGAACCCCACAGACCATTTCTCACCCACAGCCTGAATTTCCTTCCTTTCATGCCCGACCTTGCATATTCCCCTTTGCCCTGCCATTCCTTGTGTTTTCCCATTCACATGACCAAAACCAGCTCTGAGCCACCTCCTCCCCAAAGCACCTTCTTTTCCCTTCCCTAACCTTACTCCTCCCCAATCCTCAGAATTTTAGTCCCCTCCCCCATGGTATTTCAGAAAAACTGCTTCCTAAGTTAGTGATGCCTGTAATTAATTTTCCGAGGGCAGGTTTCCCCATTGGCAGGGCCTTACATGGCACCGGCACCGCTACAGCCTGGGTAAACCACTAAGGGAGCCACTGAATGAATAAATGAGGCTATCATTTATCTAGCATCCCCTTTCTCTTCTCTATGCTG